TGCTCAGCATTTGTCCCAATTTAAGGGCCGCTCCTCTCACGCGACACAACGTGTCGACGATTCGGTTGGCATTCGCTTCCGTCAGCAATGGATTTGATCCCAAAATGCTTTGCGAAGAGCGCGAAGAGATTCCTAAAGTCTTTTTCGTCATCTCTTCGAGTGCTCCAAATCCGAGACCAACCGCTAAACTCCCGAAAGATGCCAATCGACTCACTCTATTGGCCGGAACTTTACGTTCTTTTGATCGTTGACTTAGATTTTGTCGACAATTATCATTGAGTCGAGGTTTGGCTCTAGTATTGGACTTTTCATTGACAGGGCTTTTGTTGACTGCTTTCTCGCCAATTATTATATTCTCTTTGACTAACTCTTTATCAATAAACTTATTCTCATTGATATTCAATTCATTCAAATCCTCATTCAAATTGTTCTCTAAATCACAATTAGATATTCATTTGATTAGACTATAGTTAATAAAGAAATGTAAATTAGACTAGAAGCTATATTGTCATGCCAGTGAATCATTTTTATATTACAGTCCTATTAACATATTTACAGAAACAAGGTAATTATTTAAATGATTACGTGTACATTTTACGTATATGAAAATAAAAAAGAAATATTTTTAAACTTTTTAATAAATGATTAAAATATTACAGGAATATTAATATAACAGTAATAGTAAATATAAACAAGGTTAATTTATTAAAATATCAATTAAGTGGACGTCGTGTTCAAAGACTACAACATTGAGTCTAATTGTTAATGTGATTGTAGAAAGAAATGAAACTAACTTTGATTGAAGTGTTGCACCGGTATTACAACTGATGGGCCACTCATTTGTGACATAAATCTCGTAGATTTCAACTGATTTCTGGTCACGTATTGCATGTATTGACGAATGCCTTCGTATACCATATAAGACCTGTCCATCACTTCTGTCCCATTCATTGAACTCTTTCTCTAAACAATTTGGTGACAAATATCACAGAAATCACTATTTATTTGATAATCACTTGTTTTCATATAATGTATATATTTGACAGATATATGCAGTAATAGTAAATACAATGACAACAAGACATACATTTCTGCCATTTCTCTGACCACTTCTGGACTCCTGTTTGGATCCGTTTCTGTTGCCAATTGTCTCAAAACGTCTGCAATTTTTATTGACATTATCTTTGAGTCCATTGATTGCATCTTTGGTTATGAACTGATCGATGGATCGGTTTCTTAATCCCAATCCTATTCTCAATGAATGATTGACTGATTTGAGAAAATACAACAAAATCTTATAATTGTTTGACATTTCCTTCAATCAAACCATTTGTTTGTAAATAATATGTTTAAAAGGCTATCAATAAAGGTATGCAAAGCACGTGACATATTGGGCACCCATTCATACAGAGATGGATAGAAATAATGTCGTGTAATATAAGCCGGTATTCAATATAATTGAAGCCATTGTGTGACAAAAGGGGGCAAAACTAATGGACGTGTTTTATGATTGTATATAAAACACCACAAACTGTAGATTGAGTGACAAATAGGCCATTGATTTTGATTTGCAAATTGCAATCAGTCTTACAGTTATTGGCAATCAATTCAATTACAAGACTTACGATAAGTGGTGGCAATGATTGACGACATACTCTTTGATTTGCTTCACATGGAAAGTGTGGAACTGTTGGCACAAAACAGTGACAACGACTCCAAGGTATGACCAATTGGTGACACTTTGTGACCATTTTGATGATTGTGTGTATGTGTTGCAGGAGTTGTGTGTCTCTCGCTTAGAGCACATCGGATACAACACTGGCTATAGATTTGTGGAGAAGTGAGTCCATTGTCTGACTGTATGTGTGAATGTGTTCATGAATTGGTGTCTGTGTTCAGAGCGACCAAAGAGTGGCAGCGATTCAAAGACGAGTTGGATGTCATGAAGTTCATCTGCAAAGAGTTCTGGTCCACAGTCTTCAAGAAACAAATCGATAATTTACGGACAAATCATATGGGAATCTATGTATTGCTGGACAATAGGTTCCGGTTTATCACACAAATGTCAAACTCGAAGCAATATGTGGACCAAATGCCAAAGGTTTGTACCACTGGTCACACCACTTGTCTTATCAAGACTTACGATAAGTGGTGGCAATGATTGACGACATACTCTTTGATTTGCTTCACATGGAAAGTGTGGAACTGTTGGCACAAAACAGTGACAACGACTCCAAGGTATGACCAATTGGTGACACTTAGTGACCATTTTGATGATTGTGTGGATGTGTTGCAGGAGTTGTGTGTCTCTCGCTTAGAGCACATCGGATACAACACTGGCTATAGATTTGTGGAGAAGTGAGTCCATTGTTTAACTGTATGTGTGATCATGTGTTCATGAAATTGGTGTCTGTGTTCAGAGCGACCAAAGAGTGGCAGCGATTCAAAGACGAGTTGGATGTCATGAAGTTCATCTGCAAAGAGTTCTGGTCCACTGTCTTCAAGAAACAAATCGATAATTTGCGAACAAATCATATGGGAATCTATGTATTGCTGGACAATAGGTTCCGGTTTATCACACAAATGTCAAACTCGAAGCAATATGTGGACCAAATGCCAAAGGTTTGTACCACTGGTCACACCACTTGTCTTANGATAATTTGCGAACAAATCATATGGGAATCTATGTATTGCTGGACAATAGGTTCCGGTTTATCACACAAATGTCAAACTCGAAGCAATATGTGGACCAAATGCCAAAGGTTTGTACCACTGGTCACACCACTTGTCTTAACCATAAGACTAGACTTATAATGACTGACTGACTCTTGCAGTACTTGGCCTTCACGTGCGGACTCATAAGAGGGGCGTTAAGTAACTTAGGGCTCAACTCAATAGTCACCGCAGAGATTGTTTTGCCCCCGAGTTGTCGCTTCCAAATACAGATCCAAAGACAACAATAGATGGTAACCATTATCTCAATTTATAACCTAATTATCACTTTGTCATAACAAATGGTAAATCAACTTTGGATTGATTTTAATTTATAATTTAATGATTAATTTATTTTTATTATTAAAAATAACATCTCACTTGTTTATAATCTGTTTACCAAAATGTTATGTAAAATATAAGATTTTTTTGAGTCACAATCAAAATCAATGATGACTTTACAAACAATAAATGAATGAATTTACGTGAGCTATGAATGGCAATGAGAATCAATCAATTGAAATGATGTCGGGATCTGAATCAGCGGGCCTTCCTCTAGAGTAGTTGGGGACCTAATGGGGCAGTGATAGCATTAAAACTGAGTGTCAGGTCTTAGTGATGAAACAAATCTCTGCAAACCTCTCTGTCCTGTCGAAAGAGATGGTCAAAAGCAGAGGACATGTCGACGTCTAATGTATTAAATGGGAAAACATTGCATTTAGTGAATGAGCATTGAGTGCATTAATGGTGTAATACTTGAATAGTTGAACAGAGAATTGTTTCCCGAATTGAGAAAATCAGGGAATGAAGAGTAGTATTGGTTAAGGAGTGGAACACTTGTATAGGCGCTGGCGGTGGACGAGCGGCCACTACTAGCCATGGATGACACGCTTAAAGAGGAGGGGAGTGTCGATCTAAACGATACATAAATTGATATTCAATTAAAGTTGGGTTCATAGCTATTAAATCATAGCCTACTAGATGTATAAGAGATTATTGTATTGTATGTTCGCATAAAGATTGTATGTTTTGGTATTAATTGATACAGAGTTTGAATGATAACAACATTTTATTAGTGAAAAATAGATAATTTAATAATTAAATTTAAATCTGAGATCAAGTGTAACAATCATATCAATTTGAAAAAGTAGTGTTAATAATCATAAATTGAATAAATAATTAAATGGACCAAAATTTAGTAATTCTTAATATGTATTAACATATTATCGATCAATAAATTTGAAGTAATAATTCAATTAAAATAAGTCATAATTCGGGGCTACTATTCACGAAACGAATCGAAATTATAATCCAATTAATCCAACAAAATATAATACCTGTTGTTAGCGCCGGAACTGACCGACTGTGTGGTCGGCGTATTGACTGTTGAGAAGTATGAAGTGATGAGTGAGTTCCCGGAGTTGGAGGCAATCGGCTGAATATTGCTCGAAGCGGAACTCGAAGAGTCGGGCGATGGAAGTGATTGCATGTGATTAGGAGTGTCTGATTCAGAACCAGATCCGGACGACAGCACTGGCGTAGATGGCGGCGGGTTTGACGAGCATTTGATTGTGTCGTCGTCCTCCTCATCACTCGATTCGATGGTTATTACGTCGATCTTAGGCTTCTTCGGAGGCGCTCTTTCAGGTGCTGTTCAGACACGAGAGTTAGTAACCAAATACAAGTGAACCAATCAATGAGTACTCACAGGTCTCCCTCTTATTCTTGGTCCGTCTCGAGCCGGAGCCCAATGTCTCACAACTATTCTCCTTCTTAGCGACGACTGGAGTCCAGGAGCCGTCCTCATGGAACTGGACTTCATTGCAAGAAGTGGGCGCGTCCTTTATAATCTCATTGAACAGCCTATTGGTCGAGACATTGCATTCAAGTGTCTGAGAGTGAGTGTGAAGTGAGGACTAACCCATCGATGGCCAGATTGGCGAAAACGGCCGGTTTATCGCAGACGGGACAGACCCACGTCGGCTTCTTCTCATTCATTTGTAAATACAGTAACGCATCGAAACACTGGACGTGAGCGCAGGTGATTGCACGGCAAGGGATCTGAATTCGCATTTTGCCCAACTATTTCAAGCAATATAAGGTTGGGTTAGACAGAACCCACACGACCACTGTTTTGTATGCCTTACCGGACAGAGTAGTGAACCCCTTAAGCTCATGGTTGCGATCTCAGAGTCGGGATCGTGTGACAGCTTCTCTTTGACTGAAATACAAACAATTCATTAGTCTTTGCAAAATGTTTGCCATCCAAATGACTACTAACTCATAGCTCTGGTGTGATCTGAATTGCGAACCCCTTTCTGTTTGATTCTCTGGAGGAGTGTCTGTGACGTGAGTTTGCGGACCAAAAACACGCCGATAGCATAGGGACGGTTGTAATCGGCCGCCCATGAGATGGATATCTGATTGGAAACGGTTGGCGAGAGTTTGCAGAGAGTGGTTATGTTGACGGGTCTGCTCGGCCTCTTAGGCTCCACTCCCGGCTTATTAGTTGGCAATGGATTCTGGAGTTACAGTAAGACAACAGAGAGTGAGAAGTGACACAAAAGAGAGAGCAAAGAGAGAGTACTGACAGGAAGGGGACACATCTTGGAGTTGACTTTGACGCAAATACTGGGCGGGAAGTTGTCCTCCTGTTCGCACGTCGTTTCGTTCAGACAGAACCTCAGCTGCAACTGCACCGTGTAGTCCACTTTGGGTCCGGGGGTCACCTCCCGAGACATGGCCACGTCGTTGGCCTGTTGTGGCGTCAAGTGGAATGTGAACATACTTTCCTGGAACCGTGACCCGGGCACTGTTGGCACTGGTAGTCATGACATACAGATCCACATTAGATATATACCGGTACTTCACTCGAATGGATTCACTATAAGACAACACTTACTCAAACTCGAGGGCTTCAAGAGATCGCCTAAAATGTCATAAAAAGGCAACGATTTGAAGACAACGTCCGGATATACGGGGTATTGCATGGGAGGCATCGATGACTGCATGGATGACTGCATGGATTGGTAGGGTTTGGGCGGGTATTCGAGACCTAATCCGCGAGGCATCGACTGGTAGTAATCGGTCCGCTGTTTATGACTCATATGACTGCCATTCGAGGCGTTGAGCAGATGTCCGCTCGACGGCTGCGAAGACATTGAATGCAAGCCGTGATGGGACTGATTGGTGGCCGACCTCGTGGTCACTTGATGGACATAATTGGCGGCCATATCGCTGTCACAACTGTCGGAACTGTTGCCCACAGTGTTGGAGAGATAACTCAGATTATTATACCTCTGGCGATGGAGTTCTTTGATCTTATTCTGCACGGAAGTGGTCAGTGCCCTGCCCTTCAGCAGTTCCAGTGCCTGTGCCTGGAGTTCGTTCTTCTTTCCACACTTCTGTTTGCCGGCGAAACCCAATAACATCTGGAGTTCCGCCACACGGAAAGACATTATCATATTCTGGACACAAACACACAGACAGTCATTAGTAACACAATCATACAAACCATACACTCGTCTCACGCGGTGGTGTGAATGGGATCAGTTCACCACCGGGTGGTCACTCACTCGCAAAGAATTGACGGCATTGTCGGCCATATTAGTCACGCTTTCATCTTAAGTCCCGATGAAGTGGCGGTTCTTTAGGCCACGCCTTCCATAGACTCAATGGTCTCACAAACACTCAATTTGTCGCCAATTTGTGCTCAAAATGGGATCAAACCACTCATATGACAATCAATGGCTCTTCGGTAACACTATTGCCATCTGCCGGTCATTGGCCTCCGATTCTGTACACAGTGTCCGCACCACTCGTTTCACTATTGTCTTCGTCACCACTTCTTCACACGTACTGCACATTCAGTTGACATTAATTTGCGAATACAATCCAAAATGTGATCATTCAATGGATTTGTGTTTCATTGAGTTTACAATTAATGAATTCAATTGTATTTATAGTGAAAATCACTTGAATTTGTAGAAAAAGTGTGTCACAACTGACGCTCAATGGGTGTCAGCACTGAATGTCACATTTGATCGCATATGCAATCATTGGCCTCAATATGATCGACACAAATGCGCACTCAATGCCTCACATAAGCCCCGCCCACACATCCAATACAACCCCGTTATCATTGCAATGCATTGTCATCAGTAGTCGACATTCAGTTCATTACGAGTCGCTATTAATCACAAAATAACCTAAACTTTAAGATTTTATATAAAATCTAAATCTGAGTCTAAAATCCATTTGAAATGAAATAAAGTTTAGTTAAATTAATTGCATTTAAACCGATTTATTAGTCATATTTATTGAGACCATAAATAATGTAAAGTAAAGTAAATCCCTTTAACTTTTGTAAAAAGTATTTCCCATAGAGTTAGCATTGATGTGAATATTGAATGCAAAACCCATTGAAACACTTAATAAATGCGAAATAATTTCAGGAAACGTTTCACTGTTTTTGACGTAAATAGTGATTAAAAAAAGTTATTTTTATGACATTTTAGTGTTTAATTAGTATTTGTGTTATCATTATATACATGAGATATGACTTATAATCCGGTAATCAATGATTATTTACATTATTTACAACTTAAGCTATAAATCCAATGATTGTCACAACAGTTGATCCCATATTGCGATCGCATTAGTCATCCGTTAAGTCCGGGAACTCTTATCCGGATCACCGGAACTCCTAACCCATCGGCGCGTTGGTTAGACATGAATGAGACAATTGTGTTGACAACTGATCCAATGATTATTTGTTTCGGTCATTAGTTTTGCGATTAATCTTCAATGCGGGCCATCGGTTAACCCGCGCGACGACATCGCCCTCCACTTGAGTCCAGTCTTCACTCCTCCGCCACGTGTTGTCAGGAATTCATTGCAAACCCAGAGATGGGGCCCCGAAGAGAGTTTCGGTGGCTTTCCATTTATGAGTGGACAGCCCTTCGAAGTAATGGTTTTGATAGACTCGGATCACTTCAAGATAGCCATCAATGGCTCGCATTTCACAGAATTTCGACACCGATTACCACTGCAACGAATCACCCATTTATCCATTGATGGCGACGTCACCATCGGTTCCATCACTTATGAGGGCACACCTCAGCCGTCATACGCACCGCCCTCCGCACCCATGACCGGCGCCCCTCCCTATCCTATGGGTGCCCCACAAATGCCCGCTTACTCCTCGGCACCGGCCTATGCAACCGGTGCTCCCTATCAGTCACAGCCGTCATATCCCAACCAAAACCCACCCATTTATCCGACGGGTGGTTACCCACAGGCATCCTATCCCACCACCAGTTACCCCACTGTTACCCCACACCTGGATATCCGGTTCGTATGAATTGAGTGTATATTTAACAGGAAATCAATGAAAATATGTCTAAATTTCTTAAAGCATTCTCCGGGCCATCAAAGTAAAGGCATATTAGGCGGTGCTTTGGGCGGTACTTTAGGCGGTTTGGCTGCCGGAGCCGCCGCATCGTCTATCGGCTCCGCAATTCTAGGCAAACACCACGGAATGGGAAAACAACACAAGCACTCGAGTCCCATCCCAATCGGCGGCTTAGTTGCCGGTGCAGGCGCTGCAGCCCTGGGCGCCGCTGTCCTCACAGGACACCATCCCGTATGCATTGAGTGACTTTGAAATTGAATTTGTTTTAAAGAATTGTTTGTTTAAAGTTTAAAAAAGCGAAAAAACTGTTTAAACACAAAGGATTTAAACATAAAGGATGGCATAAACCCAAGTTTGGCAAATGGAAGCACAAGGGATGGAGTTCTGGCAGTTCCAGTGAAGAGGAATAGATGATAATACCCTGTCTGTCAGTCCTCTTAAGTGCAATTTAAGAACTTAGAAAGTTTATAATTGTTTGTTATCTTTGTTTTATACAACGCTATAATAACTTAGTGTATGATCTGCACGATGACTCTCTCATTGAAATATTGATATTTCATATTTTGATAATCTATAATAATCTCACAAATGCCTCAATTATAATACAGTAATAACAAAACACAACTTAAATTATACACATTTTGTTAAGTAATAATAACTTTACAAAGTATACTACCGGTAATTAATATAAACGACAATTTTGTTTTTGTATCATTTTATAATTATTATTAACTAATGCTTTGCTTAATGACATTTTATTTAATTTATTATTATTATTATTATTATTATTATTAAGTATGAAGTACTGTATGTAGAGTTGTAAAATTAAAATTACTGAAGAATTTAATTAATTTTTAGTGAAATTAAATTTTTAATTATCCCTAATTAGAAAAAACCAACACATATTTACTAGCTTTTATTTTCTCAATCATTTTAAATGATTGTAATTTTAGTTTTAATTTCAGATTGTAATTTAACTCTAGTATTTCAAGCTGTATTTTTCGATGTACTGTAGAGCTACTCAAAATTTCAAATTTAGTGACTAAACTGATAAAAACATTATTTAAACAATTACAGAATTACCGTGTTAGTTTGAAAGTTTCATTTTTGTTTGTTCACCAAACAAATATTCAATTCAAATTAGCATTTTACCTGTACAGTATGATACAGTATTATTCATACGGTATGAATTCCTCATGAATCATAAGTTCTATGGAATCCATTGACTACTTGTTTTAATACGAGTTTTCAAAACGATTAGGCAATTAAACTCCGGTTGTCAGCGATAAATACTTTTATTTTGTTTTTTTGAATTAAAAATTTAATTCAATTAAGTGATTGATTAGAGTTTTCAGGATTCATAAAATATTTTAATAACAAAATTAAAGTTTTATCAAATTTTTACAAAACTAAGATTATTTACACAAAAAATACTTAATTAACATATATTGTGGCACTTTTTACTTTAGTTTATATTCAAAATCTTATTGAATTGCTTTTGATGATTATTATTATTATTTTACTTCAAACCAAATACTATTTTGATTAACGAATAGCCCTGTGATGTCCCTCTGAGCGGATGAATCGCTTTATTATCAGTTTTTGCACGAAATGACTAAAAAAGTGATTTTAAGTTGACTTTGAATGGCAATCAAGTGGTCAACTGGTGTTCGGCCCAAAGCCTGTCAATAAAGTCTGCGGTTGTGTTGCGGGACTCATTGACCTGAGTTCGGGGGTTGTGGTACTGTTCCCAGATATAACTGTTCTGGAGGTTAGGGTATTCAATGTGCCAACTCGTGGGCCTGTTATTGAGCGTGACTTTAGGTATGGGTGGGTCTGACTCGATCTTTCTATGTGAAGGCATAGTCGAGATGTGTTTGTAGGGATTGTCGGCGTAAATGTCAGAACTGCAAGAATATCGTCGGATATCTCGAGCAGTACTGATGTGTCTTTGCCGAGAGCCGGGAACTGTTTTGGGGACCATCATCATGTTTAAGCCTGTATCATTAAATAAGGCCGTAATGAGGGGTAGATTGAGGTCTCGACTCTTTTGTCTCAATTGCTGCAAATCAGAGACCGAACCGTTTTGTTCGCTGTTATAGTTGTTTGCATTGAGTCTTCCGTTTGCTGTAATTAATGGGTTCTGCAATGAAAACAATAATCATTATAAATACTATATAATTGATTAATTGCTCTCATTTAGAGCAACCGGTGGTGAGACTACTGACCCCTTTATGACTAGTAGCGGTTAGCTGTGAAATATTTGCCGTTTTTATGACTCGACTTTCATTGTAAGAGTTGGCGTATTGGGGTGGAGGCGGAGGTACTAATATTGACTGCAATTTGGATTCAGAATTCACACTGAAATCACTGGCGAAGAGTCTTAAGGGATGACTTGAAGTCATGGTTATGTTGTTGAGTGACTGATGGAATGATGGCTGGATTAACGGTTCCGTGCAATCGGTTAATCGTTTAGGTGTTGATGTGGTTATGGAGTTGGGAGAGGGCGAGGATGAGGATGGGGATGAGGATGGCTGTACTGAGGGTACGCTGTAGTGGGCACTGGAGTCAGAGTAGGCGCGACTCTCTTTGTATGTCCTCTTTATAATCGGAGGATTAGTTCCGTTACACACATTTGGGTCCACATTAGGGATCAATTGGTTGTTAGAATTGAGATGATTAGGACTGATCTGACAGCTATTGACTTCTAGTTTGGTTGAAGGGAAATAGGATGGCTGAGACCATAGTTGGGATGTGTGGAGATTGGGTTCGGATGCAGCGATGTATTGACTTTTCGGTGAATTTGGGTCGTAATTATATGTGAAGACAGTGAGAGTGGGCTTAATGTGGGAACGGGTTAGCGATGAGACACCGATTCTTGTGGCTGTCCTTTGAGTTGGGGTCGTAGTTGTGGTCGCAGTCAATGTGGAGCTCAATGAGGGACAGGCTTTCAATGCGAGCTTTGGTTTGGTTTCATGGGTTTGATATTGAGAGAAATACGGGATATTTTCATAGATATGATTCATTGATTCCGATCTTTCTGTCAGCTTTGAGAGGTTGACAGATCGCACCGAGAGGTCAAGTTTGGGTTGAACTTTGGCAGTTGAGCTCATATTTGCAGATAGGGTGGCCTCAGGACTAGTCGATAATAGGTTCGCTTTAATCAATGCATCGTTTGCCAGACTGTTTGTCGTGTCACTCGTATCGCTCAAGTGGTTGATAGCTATATGAGTGTCGGCTTTATTGATGACATTAATTATATGCCTATTTGTAGGGACGACAGGAACAATGGATTTGATGGTTGTGTTACTTTGTTCAGATGATGTACTTTTAATACTGTTAGCACTGGAAGGCATCTCACTATCACCTTGTTTATTCTGTGGATAATTATTGCAATTCATAGTAATATTGCTGATAGAGTTTGATTGTTTGTCCTCAATATTTGTCGGCGATCTTCTCATTGAGTTATCTATCGGTTCACTCAAAGCTAGCGATTCGAGTGAGACTACCGGCGCTGAGTTGATCATAATTTCAATATCGATATCTTCTCTATCGCTGTCCTCAAGACTTTGCACTTTGTCTGAAACAATGCCAGACGTGGTATTAGACGAGGCATTACTGATGACCGACACTCTCTGAGCGCTAATCTCTTCCAACACGGAATTCGTGTGTTTGCTATAATCGGATCCCTTTTTATTATTTCTGCCAATAAGTGGCAAATCGTCATAAATATAGGATTCCCTAAACTTTTTTCTGCAGAGCTCCGACTCTCTCCTCTTCACTTCCCTCATCTTCGGCTGCACCACGAGTTGGAACTGATGGCTCACTTTGCACAGCCATAGCAAATGTCGCGCCATTTCCTCAGTATTGGCATAATATGTGAATTTCCTAATGGGATAACCCGTCGACCGGATCTCAAACTTTTTCTTATCGAAGTACAGCTTTCCGATGTCAGCCCAAGTGAAGTATGAGATGCGGGTCTTTTGCTTAGCGCACGGATGACTGCTATGACTGTTGGTATGAATAGTAGATATTCTCTGCTCTTCTGAATTAATCTCGACACCAGTGGTGCAGATGCCGACCCACACCTCACTGGTGGCCGTCTTATTCTTCAACCTATAGAGGTGTAGGTTATGGGCAGCGCTCGCGTCCGACGCTTCCCTAATATACATAGACTGGGCCTCGCTTTTAGGCATTCCCTTGTGATCCCGGTGCAAGAACGGCAAGTGCTCTATAATATAATCCAATCCAATCGTTTCGATTACCTGATAAACAATCGCATCAATCAAATGGTGTTCAATGCTTTAGAGCTTAACGTTTAGAATATATTAATTTTAAACTCAATAGTCTTTTATAAAAGTATATGTTATATAACTTACTACTTATAAGACATAATGTATTACAAGAATTACTACTTTTCACATATATTAACCATTTTTCACTCAAATTCAAGCCTAAAATATATAATTCAAAGTTAAAAACGATCATTTTTGTTTAAAAACTTATTTCTTATTTCTCTGATTCAAACATTAGTCTTAAGTTTTTGTTTAAAATAATAAATTTAATCAAAAATATTTTATTCTTTTTAAATTTGAATGCAAAATGAGTTTTGATTTTTTTAATGAATAAATCAAATTCTAGTTTTATATCTGAATAAAAAAAGTTCTCTCCGATTAATTCAAACGACAATTTAGTGTTTAATATCTGACTTGAAATTTAAAAATATATACGGTATATAAAACTAAGAGATGTCTGAAAAAATAATGGAAATGGAGTGCAAAATATGCTGTGAAGGGTAGGGATAGGAATAAGTTGCGAAAAAAGGTTAGTCTCTGTCTTACCCACGAAGCGAAGTAGAGCTGAGGGTTGAAGTATTGGCCGACATGTAGTTGGGGATTGAAATGACCGAAGTCTGCCTGCAGGGCATACGATGCCAAGAGAAAGGCTCTCTCCTCGCACAGGGCCTGACCATAATTGACTACATTCTCTCTGCCAACAAAAAACGAAAATTAGTGTCTCAACCCGAGGCCTAATTTTTTGGTGAATACATACCTTAGTTGTAGATAATAGAGAAGTTTCGCTACTTTATCACTATATGAGTGGAGAGAAAAAGAGACATTTTTTACTTCGTTAATACAATCTTTTCATAAATTATAGTATGAAATAAAAACGTATATAAAAGCTATTATTTTATGCAATAATTAAAGATAAGAAGACTCTCTCACCTAATGAATAGATAAGAGTCGACATAAAATTGTACTCTCAGATGAACACTGAATAATGGTTTGCCAGTGTTGTCGACCCCCTATCCGAACGAATGCATTGCAAATAAGATGAAAAAGAGAGATTCAAATGAGTTTGTCTTCACTTTCAGTGATGTCTTAAATCATAAACAATTATATCGTAATTAAACAAGTTCATTGAAATTACATTATTCTGGAGTTTCCACTGTTTGGACGCGTATTTGCAGAGCTTTTGTGTCGGATCGAGAAATAAAAATGAATCTAAAAAAGGGAAAAACAAATAAAAAGTTTATATTACGCCAAAACTGGATATTAAGAGACACTCTATTATTATAGCTATGGAAGCGATAACTTTCCCAAAAGCATAGCATTTATCCCAAGAGAAGTCAAAATGCATATCAGAGTCATTGCAATCACAGACTCCGCTATTAATATTCATTACAAATCATATTACGAGTGAAATAAGTATTTTATGATAATATGTTTTCCGAGACTTTTTGGACTCTCAAAAAAATCTCATTACTTATTAAATGATAAAATGAATGACTGTATGACTGACCTGTTCTGATGGCGAGACCAAACAATTCCGTTTGGCATAGACTCAGGAATTTGCAGATCTGTCCAAACAATTCATTGACTTTGCTCTTAGGCTAACCATTAAGAAAAAAGCATTCTTTTAGTAAATGGAAAAAAGTGAACTTTTTTTCACTCAACACACAATCATAATCAGAGTTTTTGACAAACAATGTAATAATCGAGTGAAAGTGAAGTGAATGGGAAGGGAAGGGAAGGGCTTCAGAGATACTGTACCTCAACGACGAAGTAAAGCGTGTCTTCACTTAACAGGTTTACGGCCACAAACTTTTTACCCGTCGCGAGTTGGCTGTCACACGTTGCCATCACTGTCCTCCTCATTGTCTCGGATTTCACACAACACTAGATAATAATTGTCTCATTAATATCACATAAGTTTCTAATATTTGTTATATTTCTCAGCGTTTCTCAAACTCTCAAAAGCAATGATTGTTCAATGAATTAGAGGTTTTCACTCAAAGCTAAATATTTTGAGTTTACACCTAAACTTCGAAATAATACAAAAAAAGTTACTTGTCGTAATGACTAATATTATAAATATTATATTTTATCGCATATTTATATATAAAACATAGTATTAATTCATGAAATATGTAGTGATAAAACATGTGCAAAATTATTTATAGATTAAACGTATAATTTATATGACATTAAAATGTTTTCCTCACACTTTCACTGATTATTAGACAAAAGTTAAAACACAATAATTGTTTACTCGTAACGAAATGATTGAGATATTACTGGGAAAAATAATTGACTCTTTGTGTACTCCATATACTTTGAAATAAAGTATTTATAACAATACAAGAGTAAAGGTATTTTGAACGCAGACTTTATTCGAGGGCTTATTTATCAAACAATTACTGGAATCTAAACTCATTTAAAATCGCGAAATAATAATAATAATTGTTATCACAAACGGTTTGCAGAGTTGAATGGTCTGGAATGCAATGCCTATGGAATGTGCTTTTAGGGGCTGTTAGCCATCAAACAGTACTATACTCTACGGTATTATTATTATTTGCTTATAATCTCTGCTCCAATAAGAGCTGCAAAACATATTATGATAAACAACTAAAATAAGAATTAAAAATAAAAATTCTCTCCAAAATTAAAGTTATTATTGATTAGCAATTCATGATTGGAGTCATTTTCATCAATCATTTTTATTCTATAATTAATTCTGTATTCAAATTCAATGTTTAATTGATGGACAAAAAAGTACTCAATTAATGCATTTTAAGGCAAACTTTTATTCTTTATATTAACGAAAACTGTGGAAAGAAGTAGTTTTCGCTAAAAACCTCTTTACTATGTTTGGTGTATAATAATGACCGGTCGTCCCATTCTTAAGATTAGATCACAAATGAGTTTAATTGTCAATAAAAGCACTTTCGGCAAATTCTTCACTCAAGAGGTGGTGCCATAAGGAGTACCACAGAATAGTTGGCTTTCTATTTGAGACCAATTAATGTTCGCATTGAAAATGTAACTAAAATTAAAATTTCAATACTATTGTCGACTATTTGTTGCATTGAATCAAACATTTTTTGAATTTAATGAAACGGATTCCCTTTGAATTGCTAACAATGGGAAAGCATTCAAAAGGAGTCCCTTTGAGTGCATTTCCAGCTCCGTTAGAGTTACGGCTTGTGAGCACTGGTAGGGGCTATTGAGATGTGGGCGTAAAGTAAGCCCAAAGTACACCATAAAGAACAGGACAACTGAATGAATGAATTGCTGGATATGAATGACACGATTCACAAACGCATCCGCTTTTAATTCACTAATTTATTTGCTTTAATAAAATACAAATCGACTAAAATGTAAAACACAGAAATTATTCATAAATATGTTAACAATATGCTAAATATTAGTGTATCAAATGGTATGAATTGCTAAGTATTGGCAGATAAGCCAAATGCGAGCGAATTCATGGACTGAGATTCAGGTGCGAAACGAATGGTTTGTTTAGCAAAGAGTTTGTAAAGACTCGGAGTCTAAGCGCTAAACATTGTTATCGCTCTTCATATCAATTTCAATACACATTAGAGAAAGAATTTTAATGAAATATCAAATAAAATGTTTAACCTATTTTCTGGTATTAACTTTATAGCAAATATTTTAATATTGAAAAACTATTTCCTTTTGACACTCTCTGCGGAAACCCTCTGAGGAATTGAATATTTTTTATAAAAACCTAAATTCTTGTGTTGAAATCTGATTCAAATTTCAGATAAATTCAATTAATTATTATTAATTAGAAAATGAAATTTGGTTTACATATTGATTTAAATATTTTTAATTGAATGTATCACATTTAAATTTTTAATCATAAGTTTGTAATCATCTCATATCATGATCCCTGTGGAGCTAAACAATCATTTTGTGAAAAATGAGTAAAAACTTAAAAAACTGTTTTACAACCGCTGAAAGCAATTGAATATATAATACTAGTATTAAGCTTATTTGCACACATTTACTAATAATGCCCATAGAGTCCGGAACTTAGCCTCAAAAGGATCTCAAATGCAATCATTAATAACTTATTTCCATTTCCAGGGTCTTTTCAATCGTTACTTTTAGTAGTTTCTCAAATGTTTTTTTATAAATGAAAAAATATTTTTATTTGATATTCACATCAAAATTCAACGACACATACAATGAGATCATAAACTGTATTCACTTTCACACAAGTATTCACTCAACTGTTGATCTCTACAGAAAACATCTGCACTGAAAGCATACATACACTCGAAAGTGAGTGCAATATAATAGTGAATATAATTAAAATAGATTTGAATAGAGTTGAGATACAATTGAAAGTACGTTCGCTTCAAACGCTTGTATAGTATTATCAAATCAATGAATTTGAAGCAAAAAGAGTATAATATAATATAATTGGGTCTCAATCGTAGAGCAAAAAATATGAAAAAGTTTTAACCGTTGTATTGATTAGCAGTGCTATTGACTGGGAGATGCGAACACGTATTCACTGTTATGGTGTACTTATTCACGAATCGTTAGCTTTATTATGGCTACAAATGTAGGGATCGGGTACTGAGGGCTCACTTTTCTCCCTAACTCTCATTAAAATGTTAACTCAAAGTCAGCAAACATTTGGTAATATATTTTGAGATACTAAACGATTTCTTTTCTATTTATCGGAGTTTTACTTTGGAATCATAGCTAAGACTAACATAATTTCGAAGTGAGTCTTGTTTTGTGTGCTATACTACGGGTATACGTACTACACTATAATATACGTCGACTGTGACCCCGGAACCCATGGGGTCAACCCATACCACAGTATCGTACAGTCATGGACTGCCAGACTGTAAGCTATGGGCCTCTTAATAATGATTAAAATATTTATGTAAAACATAAGTACAGAGAACTTGAAGGAAATTTTGGCTATAATTTAAGCACAGATTTGTTTCCACTTTGGAAATCGAGAGCTATTTGATTGAGTGAAACAATAGTTAGAATTATTTCTGAACATTGAGGCAACAATTTTGATAATTGAATAGAGTTTGCAATCAAACAAGTGAAGTGACAGCAAATATTTGGGTTTGACATTAAATGTAAAGTTTTGGGACATTAAAAGTCATAATAAAGATAATATAATTTGGTTGGCGTTTTAGTCTCAGAATTTCTTATTATGGCTGACACTTGAGGGTAATATTTATAAGTCGAGTGATTTTGATTTTGGCAAAAAAGGCATTTTCCCAGCCATGAGAACTGAACAAAATAGCAAACTCTGAAAACTTTGAAAACTTTGAAACCTCTGACAAACACTGGATGTGCTTCTCATTGATAAACACAAAGACAGCTCTGAATCGGCGAATAAATGCCTGACAGTCACGAAGACTTAATTGAGCCCTGGATTAGACGTAATACTGAAAGAAAGAGTGCATTAAATTATTTGTGTGAACACAATATGCCATCAAATAATACATTGAATCCAATAATTATTAGTTTGCAGTCATTTATAAGAGAGAAGTCTCTCTCTCGAAATTCAAATCACATTAAAAAATGCAAATTATATTACATTATGTTTAGTGAATGCCTTCGAAAACATTATTCATAACAAGACTTACGAATAAATTTGTTTTTATTTTCTTCCTTTTCTTCTTTTGCAAGTTTTATAAAAGTTTGTTCATTCAAAATACAGTCAATAATCACACAATAAATCCAAACATTTTCTTCAAATTGTTGATGAAATACAAGTATTTTTCGCACAAAACCCCAAAAACTAATAAACAATAAAAACACTTTTAAAGGCAAAGATTGAGCCTCTCTTCACTAAATTAGAAAAGTATTAGAAGTCGTAAAACACATTCTCTTAGCGCCGACACAAATATCAATAGTTTTGGAGCGAAAAAAGTTTTCAAAACATATTTTCGTTGTTTGGAGTCAAAGCAAACACTTATGCGAAGGACTGTAAGACTCACACAACTCTTAACTGAAAACTTTAGTGAAAAACTAATTTAATGGTTGGCTCTGTTGGACACAAAAATGCAAGGATTTGTTGCAAAAAAGCTAATCAGAAGATCAAGAGTTCCCATGAAATAACATCCCAACTAATATCAAATATGCGCCACTTTTAATGCATGGCATGCGTGGGGAATGTTGTGTTGGATGTGCTGCTGGTGTGCTGTTTGTCGACCACTTATTTGGGTGGCGCTTGCATTCCAGTGCCGCCACTAACTCTACATTCCTCACCAATTCTTATACCACGAGTGCTATTCATCCGCACATATACTGCTGCTCCTCAATCACTCAGCTCTCTCTCTCTCTCTCTCTCTGTCTCTCTCTCTCTCTCTCTCTCTCTTATTTCACTTAACAGTTAGTCTCAGTTGTCATTTGCAGTCATTCCCAACTTCTGATCACTTCTCTCAACACTTCTCTCTCTCTCTCTCTCTCTCTCTCTCCAACCCTTTATTTTGTTGTCGAGTTTGCGATAGAATTACAATATTTTCTAAATCAGTGACACAACTCACAACTGCATACAGGGTTGGCTTTTAACCACAATCCACTTCCAATACACATTAGGCATATCTACCATACGTTTCAGTTCGCTATCAATTGATATTTTTGAAAATAAAATTTTATATTCATATAAAAGTGTTTGCATTTAAATGTGATTTAATAGGATTTGGTAATAGCACTAAAACAAGACTAATGGATTAAAAACATTTTTGGTATGAATATTGTAATGTATAAGCCTTTGAACTGATAGTGCCATCAGAAAACTGGGCGCTCTGTTGATGGTATAAACTATTTCATAATCAACACAACAGCAGATATAGTGAACAGTATTTGTAGGAAAACTAGTTTTGATTGAGAACTAGATTTTGAAAAAAGTTTACTTTTAATGCATTAGTTATGGAAGCGTTGAGACAACAGGAGATCCAATGCTTGAATAACTAGCAAATACTTCTTCACTCATGATTCATGAATGCTATGTCTTGTGTTTAAAGTCTTTTATGAAAGAGTGACAATTGATTGTGAGAAAAGCCCTCTTCTTATGGAAAATATTTTAACAGCAGTTAGTCTTAAGCGTGTCATACAAACCATACAAATGTTTGCTTCAAATGAGAACTTATATACGTTTCGATACCATTGCATACCTTATTTTGACGTTCAATTCATTATGAATCCCGTTTCACAGCATTTCTTATACATTACATCTCTCTCTCTCTCTCTCTCTCTCTCGCCTCCCGTCCCCTCTCCTATCACTCCCTTCTCTCATTCACTTAATTATAAGACATTTTTCAAGACATCTAAACCTTGGATCTGTAGCTCTGAATCACAAAGAATTCATTTTTAGTGAATGACTCAAACAACAAGACTTTCCTTTTCACTCAACATTTCACAACTCATTGGAAATATTTTCATTAATTCATATTTCTATGGCATAATACAGATTGTAATCAATTTTATTTATAGTTTACGATTTATTAATTATCGTTTCAAACAATACCAATTCTGAGACAAATCATAATTTATAAAAATTAATTAAATTTATAGTCGAATAGATAATTAAAATAAATAGATTTGTGTTTTACTTGTACTGCATAAGAAATAATCAACAATTTAAGTCTTAAATGATTTTGTAAGTAAAGGAATTTTTTAAATGATTTTCAAGTGGTTTCAAATCCAAATATGTTTAGGAAGTCATTAAATGACACCAATTTTGTTCACACAGTGTTCTTATGGAAGAATTGTTGAGTTAATAGTAAAACATAAAAAGCAATTGTTTTCTCATTGAATCACACGATTTGAATTGCAGTGATAGTTAAACTGAGAAAGTTATGCCACAATTGGCTGGTCTTGACCTTAATTCTCAATTCAAATATGAAGTCTTGAAAAATATTTTCCCAATTTAATTGTCCAGATATTAGTTTACATTCACGGGTCAAAGATTTGCTCAAACCTATTTTTATATAACTTTTAATTAAATACAAAAATATTATATAAAAATAGAAAAAAGAGTCAAGTAGTAATGATAATTATAATTATTGGAAATGGTATGTAATTTATTTATTTATTTATCAAAAGCTATTTTAGGAGTGCTTTTAAATTGAATCTCATACCCAAAAAGATTTCTATTAATAACAGTTAAAAACAATTTTATTTTAATATAAAGAATCCAATTGAAAATCAATACGAGAATAATGGCTGAGAATGTGAGCGTAGGTTAAAGTTCCTGACTATCAGTTACGCCTCTATTCCTCCACTAATTTGTGGACCAAAAAGCAATTCTTTGTCTTTAGCTAAAGGCTCAACAGTCTGTACACAGAGTGCAAAGTGTGTGCTCTATACAGTCCTGAGCTAGAAGTGTTCACTTTTCCCATTAACAAACAATGTTACTCTTTTTAGTCATTTATAGGCTAAACTTTTGTCATTTAGCCTGTAGTAAACCATATTTTTAATAACATACACTTTAAAATATTTTCCCAATTTAATTGTCCAGATATTAGTTTACATTCACGGGTCAAAGATTTGCTCAAACCTATTTTTATATAACTTTTAATTAAATACAAAAATATTATATAAAAATAGAAAAAAGAGTGAAGTAGTAATGATAATTATAATTATTGGAAATGGTATGTAATTTATTTATTTATTTATCAAAAGCTATTTTAGGAGTGCTTTTAAATTGAATCTCATACCCAAAAAGATTTCTATTAATAAGAGTTAAAAACAATTTGATTTTAATATAAAGAATCCAATTGAAAATCAATACGAGAATAATGGGCTGAGAATGTGAGCGTAGGTTAAAGTTCCTGACTATCAGTTACGCCTCTATTCCTCCACTAATTTGTGGACCAAAAAGCAATTCTTTGTCTTTAGCTAAAGGCTCGACAGTCTGTACACAGAGTGCAAAGTGTGTGCTCTATAGCCCTGTTTCAAGTCTTTCACAGTTGGCTCTCAGGATCTTAAAGTCGATAAAAGAATTTATTTTATATATAATTTGCTGCGAAAACTCACTTATAGTGACTGTACATACGGTATGAGTGTGCTCTATAGCCCTGTTTCAAGTCTTTCACAGTTGGCTCTCAGGATCTTAAAGTCGATAAAAGAATTTATTTTATATATAATTTGCTGCGAAAACTCACTTATAGTGACTGTACATACGGTATGAGTAAATGTTTTGCACATAAATTCATGCTTTGAATGAATAAATAAAAAGAGAAATCATTTAGAATTCAATGGAATTTTATATTTTGTGTTTTGAGTGGAGGAAAAATTTGTGATAAAAAACTTTAAAATAAATTTCAAGATAGAGTGGAAAAATTGTTTATCGACAGTAGTGTATAATTTTTAATTGCAAAACTCGGTATAGAGTTAAGGATAAAAATTGTCTCTCCTTTTTGGCACTCAAAACATTACATCTTTTTATTTGAAATGTAATAAAAAAATTCTCTTAAGTTAAGTGTTTTATCAATAAATAAAGATTTTCTGTTTGAATAAGTCATTTAAAAATATTTTTCTACAGAATTGATAAATACTTCCCTCAGAGAAGTGATGAGCATTTTTGCGATGAATAATGGTTTTAAAGATATTTTTGGAGAAATTCAAAGGAATTGATTTATTATTAGAAATGAGTATAATATTAGAAAATTGAGTGAAACAAGTGGTCAGTGAAAGAGACCGAAATGGGCGGTGAGAGTGAGAGGAAATGGCTGTGAATTGTTGGCAACAGTTAATGAAATAAGTGTTGGAATACATGAGTTGTTGAGTAATTGTGAGCTCTCTATAACTCAATATAAGTGAAGTAAAACTGATTTTCGAGAATTTCTTTTTGGTGTGTAAGCGATAACTCTAACTCTACATGTATTGGTCGACAAATCGTGTCCATATAGCAGGAACGGAATCCCGTGACCGTAGTGTTTTCTTACGTAAACTCCTCTCAAACCGAGTAAAGGTCGTGTATAAAGTCGGTTTGGAGTATGGAGTACTAAAGGATTATCTCCAGTACTCCCATTTTTATGTAATCAACCAAATGCTTATATATATAAATGGTATATATTTTTATTGATATAATTATTGTGGAATTTGGCGCCAATTCTGTGCCTGCAGAGTGAAGATCTGACTGAAGACATGGCAAAAGAGTATCTCATTTGTGATGTGTTTAGTATTGAGAGTGTGTGGTGTCTGGACTAATAACAACAAAGGTCATTTGCATAGGAATTTATTATAAGTATACGATTTTCTTGTGAACTATCGTTTGCATCAGAGTATAGGTGCGATAGGATCACGTCTTAAAGTTTTTTGTTTTAATGGTTGGCATATATTAATATATCACGGATTGGCATTAAAATGAATGCCTGGATGTGGTGATGGCATTATGGCTACCGAATGGACAACTCGGCTATTGTGAATTACTATACGACCCCCGATAAACATCCTTTAAAGTGGGTTTTATCATTAGTTACGGAAGAGAAGATTTCTTAAGTTTTGAGGAGGGTTTTTTACGATTCTTTTATAATCAATAAGACATAAAAACTGATTACTTTTGGCGATAAAAAAGTTTGCATAACATAACAGTTGTGAACCGAAAATTAAATAATAATAAATATACTCTTTTCGAAACTCTAAAATTCCTCACAATTAATGGCACATTGTTTTGCATAACAAATACTCGCTGTTATTATTGTGTGTATCAAATATTTGTGCGGATTTAGTGGGAAAATAGCGAAAATAAAATATTTTCAAAAATTTTCTCAAGTCAAAAATTTCAAACAAGAAAAATGAGTGTAAAAAAGTTGAGTGGAATAGCGAGTGACTAATAGCTGGATATTTGTGGAGTGAATATATTGAACCAAATACTATAGTTTTGATTGCAAGTGGTGTTTAGCTCAGGGCATAAGTGTTTGGATCGCAAACTACTGGCAAAATGTGGCACAAATTTAGTGGTTTGCAGAGGTATTTGAACTATTTTACTATTTTAACTCAAAGCCAATTTACTGAGCATTTGTGCACAAGTGCTGTGAAATGTATCGCAAACGAATGTACAAATGTATTGAACACTAGTGTCAAGCAAATCGATGCAAATATTGACAAATGCATTCACTTTATGATGCATTCATAGACCAATCAATTCATTGAACATACAGTACATTGCATTTTGAGCCCAGATTTGAGACATACATTAAAAGTACATGGATATTTGCATTTTTGCAGTTCACTATATATACATATCAATAATAAACACAAGAACTTCACATACCTTTTAATTGTAAATCAAGTAATAAATGGCAAACGAGTAGAGAATATGCGGTTAATCAACAAAAACCAATGTTTCACTTAAACTTATTCTTGTGTTAATAACAATCCAATGACTGACACCACCAATAGTTAGCAAAAAAGGTAATATTTGTGTTATTTTTGTTTGATTGTCAGTAAGTTTTTTAGTGATATGGTATATATGGTAGAGTAGATGAAATGGTAGGTATAGTGGAGTTGTTCAGTATATCCAACGAGTGGTCGCATTCATCGTTCAAATGCTTTGATAAACAAGTTTTTGAAGTTTTATTATAACTTTAAAACACATATAAGTTATAAAAGTTTTTCATAAAAAACAACTACACAACTAGTCGTACGACTGTTAACAGCGTCGTATGAGTCTCTGGTCTATGGCATAGACTTCTAGCACAGGTAGTAGTGAAGGCACATCAGGTTTGACCAAACATACCAAACATGAGGACTGGCGCTGAGGGCTGTTCACTATCTCGGCTCCCATTCAATTGGCTGGCCGTCAGTTCACACCAATTGAGTTGACGTCACGAAGGAATGCAACAGAATTTGAGACATACATACAGGCGCTGTGGGCACTACACCACCACATACTACAGCCATACGCCGGAGCAGGTGTACCAACATTGCTAAGTCATCCACAGCCAGCCTAACATACCATTGAATTACTAATAAATACTTTATTTATTACTCTAATATGTAAGAAGAAAAAGAAAAATTAAATAAACGGAGAAATTTTTCACCGATTTTTCGCAGTTTTATTTTATTCGTTGTTTTCGCAGTACTTCTACACTAGTATTGAGGCAATCGTTGTGCGGAAATTCAATCATTCAATCACTATTTAATACCAAAATATTTGTACCCAAACTTTTTCTTTTAATATAAATTTTTTTAATTTATCAAATCAAAGACAAGACATTTCTCGAGACTTTTCTGTCGCTTTTCACTGGCAATCAATTACTAGCAAAATAACAACATTTTTAAATATTATTACTTTTCCACTGCTTTTTTAGTAGAAAACTTGTTGATAACAAATAAACGTTTCTCTGATTATAGCGTTAATCACATGAAAATGTAATAAAAATTCTTGAATTTCTTGAATACTGATTACAACATTGTTTTATACAGACGTAACAATTGGCAAATTAGATACTCAATTATCATTGAGTTTGAGAGTAGTGTCAACATAACTAACTTATTCAACACAAATGCCTAAATAATTATAAATAATTGCCGTTATTTTCATTGAATTTGTTTTAAGCAAAACTAAATATTTATTTCCTTATCTTTAATCACAATTCCGTTTATTCACACGACTTGAGACATAAATATTAAATATTTTTCAAATAATATGTTTTCTAAATTATGTTTAGTATTGGAAATATTTTCTCTTATCTCAAATAATATTTTTTGATTAAAAACCACTCGAGAGAGAGAGAGAGAGAGAGAGAGAGAGAGAGAGAACATTTGCATTCCTTTAGCCAAAAAAATTTGATGAGAAAGTGAATTAAAATATTTTATTTAAAAAATAAGAATGTATATATAAGTAAAAACAAAACCATAAAAATAAGATATAAATATATTTATTTCCAAAAAGTTATTTAAAGTGAAAAAGTTGTTTATTTTGAAGATTTGATTTGAATTCCATTTTATAGATATATAATTGGATTTTATATTTAGCACAATTTTTTAGGTGACTTTAACCTCGAAATATACTGTAATATGTATTTCAATCGACAGAATTACATGACATGAATGGCTATCAATTGTAATCTGAATAAAGAATTTGATAATTGTTTTTAATATTGACTTTTTGTTATTTAGTTCATATGTTCGCCTCATTGCAGATAAGGACCAAAAAAATGAGTTTTCAGTCCAATTTCCCCCTCATTTGAGATGAACTGTGAATTCAATTAATTCATTCAAATTCAATCATTGAGTCTAATATATATCACATAATAAACAAATTCTCGCATTTGCATGACAATTAAGTAACCAATCAATTATTTTTTCTTATTTCAATCTATTTTTTCTATATAAGGATAAAAGTTGCTTTTTCTCACTTAAACATTTACTTTCAAAACAAATCACAAGTTAATGAATAAATTATTTAATTAAATGCCAACCTTTAGATATAGTGCGAAATTTAGCAAAATTTCATTATGAAAGTAAACTTATAAAGTGAGTTAAATTTGTGAAATTTAAACTTAATTTGCACTTATCTCTACTAACAATTAAGAGTCATAAAGTATTAAATAACTTAACTCTTGATATAATTAAATATTAATTGAATGCAATTAAATTCAATCATTTATTCAGAGTAATTAAAAATAATTATAAAATTCAAGTTATTATAATTGCAATTATATTCTATCATAAAAATATTCAAAGAATGTTAATGATAGATTACCTTTCATTTGAATTCACTTTATAACTCTTTTTATAATAAATGTATAATGGCCAAAATTGTTTGAATGCTTTTTCAACAACGCTTTCATCAAAAAATGCTATTTTAATCCTAATTTGAAATTTTGTAATAAATTATTTCTCCAATACATCATCGCTTGTAAACTCACAACAAATTGTATTCACTTTCAATACAATACTAACAAAACAGCTACCATTGTATTCATTCAATTACTGCAATTTGCATTTGAATTGAAAATCACCACATA